CACATAGTCCACATGGCTAGAAGAATTGGACTGCACATGGACAGCATGGCCATTTCAGAATGTAGATGGCTGAATTATACTTTTAAAAGATTTAAAAGCAGCATTTAGAGCAACACTACCCTGGTTTAACCTGAGCGAAAAGCTCTTAAGCGTATTATTTCATGTTTTTTGTCAGCCCTTTTAAAACACTGCTCTACAACAGACTTGGCATCTATATGATATATGCTATATCTTCTAACCAATAAAAACACATACAATTGTACACAAATGGAGTAAGATTAGATTGCAATTATAAGAAGATATATATACCGTTTGGGGAAAAACATGGCAATGATGCATGCCACAGGATTAGCTACCGCAGATAGAGCAGCTGACAGATGATAGGCCATATTTCCATAGGGCATACAGGAGAACGTTTGCACTGAGGGCAGTAGTCCATTGGTTGCACTGTTCACCCATAGAACCATGACATAGATGAATGCAAGCTGATAGCTTGAGTGCTGCGGTTTAGGAAGCAGCACTTCATTCTGCTTCTGTTCCACTTCCTCTGGACAGTTTGTCTTGGGGTCCATAGGGCCCTCTAGACCCCTGCAAACCGTTGCCACAGCATCTGAGTCTGAGACAAGGTTTTCAGTGGATAGTTCAAAAGTCCGAGGCAGACGGTTTAATATGAGGAAAGCACCCAGACTTATCGTGGTCATTACAGCGAGGAAGGAGAAGAAGATCTCAGTGGAGAAATTTGGCGGGAGGTACTGTGTCTCCACAATGAAGGTTGGAGGTCCGGGGTCTGTGACGTTATCAGACACATTTGTCACATTGACGCATTTTGACATCCCGACCCCTTGCGCCAGCGCCACCAGACCTGGAACCAAACCACTGAGACCTTCTCCAATGAAGTATGTGGTGATGTATTTGGCGGGAAGTTGCATCATGAAAGGCAGGAAGGTAACAGACGAAGTGCAGTCGACCAGAGCGAGGAAAAACGTGAGGATAAAAAATGCTGTGCTACGAGGTTGTCCAAAGATAACAGTGGTGTAGTTCCAAAACACAGCTAGCAGGATGCAGGCTACAACACCAATTGACAGGACAGCATAGATGGCTAGATTTTCGCGTAGTCGTCCGGGACAGAATTTGTGCGCCAGGGTCACCAGCAGAGGGCCAAGGTTGGCAAACTGAATGATGACAGTGAGGTAGGAGGGTAAGTCCCAGCCCTCTGGCAGAACATTGACTATTAAAGGAAGCTCCACCCACAAGCCATTAATGGACACCCAGGAGCCCAGACCAAAAGCGCACGCCAAGGCATGGATGTACAGAGGCATTCTGACCTAATTTATCACTTGGCAAACAGGTAGTTGAAGATAAATCTGAAGTCAGATTCTTATGTATATGGAGTGATGCCACTTCAAGATGCCTGTGTTGAATGTCTTCTCTTTCTTTTGCGAAGACATCAGATTACCTTTAGGAAAAAAAGAGAAATAATCAGTCAAAACCAGGTATTTATTCATTCTGTAGTTATTCTTCAGCTAAATTTCTATTTTAGAGGTCGCCACAGAGGAATGACCCACCAACTATTTCAGCATATGTTTTATCTCTCATTCACACTAGCAGCAACTTTGTAGCTACCTGCCGCTGTGGGTGGCAATCTGCTGCAAACGCAGGTCTGTGTAGGTCTACAGCATGAAGAATACAACCGGCCTCTGAGTGAGCTGAGAGAGGATCATGTGAGCTCTACTGGTGCTCCTATTGGCTAGCGCTCAAAAAAGTCGCTCCTTATTTGCATAAAGTTGAAGAATTCCCAACTTTGTCATGTCTCTCGACATGCCTGCCTGGTTGCCAATAGACACTTTTCACATTTTTGGGGTTTCTTAGTAGTGGAAGGCGTCATAGCTGTGTACATTTAGAGCGCAGTGAATTGAAGAGTTTTTTACAATCCTATTTGCCGAAATAATAAAAGAAAAACTCCTCAATGGTGTTATCATGACTTTCAAAAAAGCAAAAAAAATTGTGTGAGACTGATGATGGCAGTCAGAGAAGAGAATGAGGTCAAATTTACTCTAAGCCCCATATACGCTCCATTAGAAACACCTCACACAAGCGGTAATTCGTTTTTTGTATTTTGACGTAAAGATGATATTATACATTCATAAATGAAAACAAACATTCATACGTTTTTAAAAAATCTCAATATTAAAAAATTTGTAAGAATTTAAGCTTATGATGACCATTATACGCGTCGCAACAGTCATTTGAAAAGGGGCCATGGTCACTGTCGTGTAGACTAAGGTCACCGGAAGTGGCTCACTCTCCACTGAAATATACAGTCGCTTGTCGATATGCCACTGCTTGTCGCTCGTAGTGTGAATGAGGCTTCACGCAGCAGATGTCCTTTCAGCTGCAACCCAGTACGCGAACATGGAGAGAACATGCAAACTCCGCACAGAAATGTGTCCTGGCTCAGTTGGGACTCGAACCAGTGACCTTCTTGCTGTGAGGCGACAGTGCTAACCACTGAGCCACCTCAAAAACCAGGTATTAGTCATTTAAAACATCTATCTATCTTTCTGTCTATCTATCTATATATATCAGTAAACAGTAAGTTGTTATATTAATGTGACTTAATAATGGCAATACCTTACTAATAAAAACTTTTAAAACTTAGACAAATGTGAAATTAATCAAATACTATACCACTAACCATTATAAAAAGTTCATTCTTATTCATTCTTATTTAGTAGATCTTTTTGGTACAGCCACAAGTTTGTTAAAACGTGATACTATAGATAACATTTAGTTAAATATGACAAGTTTTGCACTAATGCAATATATTAACTAACATCCAACAATAGGAACACATTTTAAAATGATCAAGTCAGCAAAAATCCAATACCTGTAACTCAAAACAAACGATTGATTTCTACATGTCACTGGAGGAGCATAAAAAAATTCAATACTCACATTCCTGCTGAGGCAAGGAGCCAGACTGAACATTCTTTTCCTCGTGGCGCAGACATTACTTTGCTCTAAACAATGCTAAGTCATAGAAACGACATTCATTCAGAGGTCTCTGTTACCGGTTAACTTCTCCACTCCGTCTAAAGATATCTCCAGTGATATGTGGTTTTTATCAGGAGCGTGTGAGTGTGTGGGTGGGTTTGTCTTCCTCATGAAGGTCATCCTACTTTAATAAAGTCCATTACTCTCCAGTCACGACAGGCTGTTCAGAAAGCTATTTTAGCTGGTTTAGTATTGCTGGAAAACTCTTAAAAAACAGGTATCAATGTATAAAATGTACATTTATTGGAGGACAGAGTTCAGTAAGCAGTAAAATTAGCAAATCTGTTGTTCCTATGAAATGTAGCATGATTATTTATGTGTGAACAGAACATCCTGAGTACTTTGACCCTTCAAGAACATTCAGAAGGAATAAATGTAGGGCACAGAGACCACACATAATAATTTGCATAATATTGTCCTTGTACCTGGAGTCAGATCTTAATGTGGAACTTTGAACAATCATAATAGGACACTTTGAACAGCATTAAAAGTCTTTACCAAACATTAAGCTCGCTTTGGGCGCTGTTTATTTTTATACTGTCTTTGATAACTACTAAAATCAAGATTAACAAATCGCAAAACACCACAAGCCAAAGCGTGTACAGACAATATTTAGTCTAAGTTCAGTTTGTCAGTTTATGTGACCTACATGTCATTACTGATTAAAAGGATTCGATTGGTTTTCAAATTGTACAAAAAGAAAACAACTAAAAGTTAATTATACATTAAATAAAGACATCAGACGAACCCATGAGAGTATAAGTATGACTCTGATCATACAGTAAATGCCAAAAAGTGGATAATTCCACCAATAATTGTATTTTATAAAGTCATTGCTCTATTGTGAAAGCCCCTCATATGAATATGACCATTCTTTTAATTCCATGCTTTTATGGTGTCATCAATACTGTGCTTTAAATTCTTCATTCAGTAAGGTGCTATAAATATTCCCCAGAGATTTTGTTCCGTATTGAAATAAATAAAATTACACAGTTAACACAAATTTATTGACTAAAATTCTGTGATGCAAATATCCCATTGCTATATTGGCTATAGATTAGATAGTGACTGGATATTTGCATCTAGTGAACTTATGGTCATGTTTTGGAAACAAGTTTAAAATCATTTAAGTTTTGTTAAATGCCACAATACACTGCTAGAAGTGACCAACACAAGATAAAGCAATGGGACATGGTCAGCAGCAATACAAAGGAAGGCTGTGGCGTTTTAACAATGCACAGTTGGTACTAAGGAGTACAAAGTGGAGCAAGAAATTCCTGTGTGAACCATAGCATCAGTTTTTTAGCTGACAGGATTGTTTAGGGTGTGTAAACATTATTTAAAGATCTTAAACTACTATGAGTAATCTGGTAGCAGTGTTTCATGTATCATTATGATGTGTGATGTAAGCTGTTTCAGGGTTAGCCATCTCTATTTATTTATTTCTTGGTTCAGTTCAATTTTTAATCATACCACAGATTGTAACAGGTGTTTGTGTGAGCGAGTGAGAGAAAGAGAGAAAGCGTGAGTGATTGAACTTTGGAATGAAGGTGAAAGTTAAAACAAAAACAACAAAAGGAATGTGTCACATGAGTTCAGTTTCCAAATTAAATAACATCATTGTAATAAGTCATCTGCAGGTTATTATTACCTCAAATGTGTGTGGGTTGTAGAATGACAACATTAAAGGAACACTCACATTTTTGAAAAAGAGCCTCATTTGACAAGTCACCTTTCAGCATATCTCTGAGTCTGGTGGGAGCACTTTAAGCTTAGCTTAGCATAAATCATTGAATTGGATTAGAGCATTAGCGTCTAGCTCAAAAAAAAAAGAAGTTTAATTATTCTTTTGATTATTATTATTATTTTTTAAGCTTGAACAAGGAACAATGTTGCCGTACCATGGCTGCAGCAGGCATAGTATAGAAGAGTCAAGATTTAGGATCAAACATTACCTCCCAATCAGTACCCGAATATATATGCACGGTTTATATATTGTCATTATTTTGAACACAAATAGTTATGTGGTGGCACAGAGTCAACCCTCTTTCTTGACTTCACAAAGAAACAACAACATGTGCGGCATGACATCCCTTTGTTGCAGCGACGCTATTGGTTAAATGCCGGCAATGCTCTTCTTTATTCTTTTTTTTTATGTATTATCGAATTATCTGATCAGGTTTTGGTATAGGTAGATAATCAAAATCAAATGACTTGGACTCGAGGGTAAAAAAAAAAAAACCTGATCAGGACATCCATAGTCTAATCCGATTCAATGATTTATGCTAAGCTAATTGTGCTCTTGTCAGACTCAAAGATCAGCAAAATAGATTTTAAAAATGGTAACTCCAGAGGAGCTGTGTGTGTGTGTGTGTGTGTGTGTGTGTGTGTGTGTGTGTGTGTGTGTGTGTGTGTGTGTGTGTGTGTGTGTGTGTGTGTGTGTGTGTGTGTGTGTGTGTGTGTGTGTTTTCTAATCAATGTAGATTGGTCCTTTAACCACTGAGGTGCAAGACAACGTTGACGGGAAAATTCATTCATTCATTCATAATGTTTGTTAAACTTCACAAACTTGTTCTTGATGAGAAGAAATGAATGACCCACCACTATAAGCAAAGTAAAAAAACACAGATCAGATTTCCAGTTCTTTATTAATTTCATTATATAAATACAAACTTAATGACATACATCTTTTCCAAAACAGGAAACAACAAAAAGGCATTAAGGCGTTATTTTCAGTTTTCAACAAGTAGCCATCCTACAAAAAACTTTCTATATGTGAGACTTTGAGGTGTATGGCAAAATTCGCAGAGAGGCAGCATAACAGGCTTCTCCCATTAAATCAGTAAGAACAAACTTTCAGTAACAAGTGTGAATGCCAAAGGTTTTCAATCTTCTGACCCCAATGAATCAGCTTTGCTTTATTATCTAAAGGAAAACTATATATATATATATATATATATATATATATATATTGTATAAGTTCAACCTCACAGCTCCATACTGCTGCACTGTGCATGGAAATATCTATTATCACTCTAAACTTGTATGTTAGCTAATACAATCGCCATATTACCACAATATCAATGTCCTTTATACATTGCACACCAATCTAGTAACAGTTCTTAAGCAAAATCCTACATTTCTGGATTTAAATAATCATAATTATACCAGACAAAAGCACAGAAGTCCTCACTGCATCACCACATTACAAGCACAGGCTCCATCACACCGCTTCCATCATTTTATTAGGAAATAAGCTCAGAAATGTTACAGCTGGTGAAGACCTTCATGATCCGTATTTAAAAAAAGATATGTAATATGATATGATCCTTCAGACTTTTCAATGTTGAATGTAGGAGGGGAATAAAAATGTCCAAATAAGAACTCATTGCTTAACCAAATAGCATAGGCTTATATATTGTCCAATGGCAACATGTAACAGTTTCTAAGAAATTGGTTAAAGCTCCAGTTCCCTGTACAGTGAAAATAACCACTGGAGTGTCCTCTTCAAATAAACACAGACCAAGCCTACTTTGACAGATCTATTAGCGGAGCAAAAATAAGTTTGGCATCTCGTATACAGTATCAGCATAGAAATATAGAGATATTAATCGACTGTCAAAAATACTACAATATTCCACTAAACAAATCTTCCTGAATTCAGAAAAATATGATCTCACACAACACATGACGCATTATGAATCAGCTCAAAACACCTCGTATATGTTTTTTTTTTGGCAGTTTTGGCTGACTCAGTTGTAACAGTTTGACAACCCAGACAAATGAATTTGCTTTCTAAAACACATTCTCTGACCTTCTGTAAAGCTGACCTACCTAAACATGTACTATCACCATACTGACCTATAGAAGCACAACAACTGACTTATTGTTGCTTGACTGTAACAGGGTTTTGGCATGACAATGCACACAAGCACACACATTTTTTGTTTGTTTTAACAGGGCTGATGATCAGATATATATTTTACTGATAATCATTTGTGCAAATATGGTGTTAATATTCTAGAAAAACTGATGATAAAAAAAATGGCACAATCAAAAATGTAACACGATATAAAATATCAGTTGTACCTCTCATCTTCCGTTCCCTCACTTATACAAGACGACTGTTACATTGGTAACCACATACATTAGAAACACTGTCTAAACTACACTGCTCCGATAGCAACACTCATTTTTAATGCAAAGCGAAAATCATTTGAATAATTTCTACTCATTAAAAATATGACTACTGCTAGATTTAAATATAAGGTCAAGTAAATAAATCTTTTTTTTTCTAGTCCATTGTCATTGCAGCTTTATAATAGAAAATATATATATAGCGCTCATTAAATAAGCAGTTAGTAGTAGTTTTAAGTGACTAGACAGCTAGATGTTGGTTCTGTCGTTTTCATCATGCTGATAAAATTTGTTGTTTTTATTAAATAAAGACCTACAAGCTGTGTAATTTAACATGCTAGTGTTAAACTGAACATTTCAACTATTAAGTAACAATACCGGCAAACTTAATACCCAAGCAATATAGTTAAAATTGAAGTTTGTCAGTCGGTTGGTCAAAAATCGCATCAACTTACGGATAAAAGATAAACATTGGATACAAACGAGACCTTTTCTAAGTGTTTTGTTATCTGTGAGGACACCAATGTTGGTTTCTTCAAACATAAACGCTAAATATTGACCTATGTGGAAATACTTCTAATATAGAGCTGACTGCTTCCAGCACCTTTGAATTAGCAAGTGTACTTCAAAAGAAAACGTTAACGATGAAAAGATGAATGAGGCCGAAGCGAGACTCGTCTTTTAAGGCGTACTGAAGTAAGACTGCATATGATGCTGCTCTGTCCGTTTAGACACAAGCAGCAGATGAAGACACAGGTTTTCAGCCCTCTGTGGTAAAAGAGCCAAAATGCCTCGAGTTTACTGCACTTTAACCCCAACGAGAGAAGGGTGATAGCAAGAGATATCAGTCCCAAAGGCCAAAACTCAAGAGCGCAGAGGCTGTTCCCTCAGAAAACAAGCAAGTCAGCAAAAGCTTTGACAAGTTAAAAGATGTGAAGGTGTCCAGAAAGGAGCCCACTTTGTTCAAGTATCAACGTTTTAAATTCGCTTTGTTGTTGGTTTTTCCTTTTTTTTTTTTTTTTTTTTTGCACTTTGAAGAGTTTTAAACATTTCACAGAAGTCTCAAGTTTTCAATAAGGATTTGGATGTGTTGGATCTTTAGAGTGAGCTGGGGGGGGGCGATGATGTTGGGATATTGCTTTCGATCGCTTTGCCAACCCTCTTTCCCTCAACGTTTGCTAGAAATTGATGGCTTTCTGATTTGGGCATTGAGATCTTTGCCGCTCTTGTTCTGTCTGAGGCAAGGACAAACTGATGGAGAAAAAGAAGGTTGTTCTCCTAGAAGCAGGTCTGAGGTAGGGGAGGTGGCAGAGGAAGTTTACTTGGTTTTATGGGCCCATCTGAGGTCATCTGATCTGGGTTTCTCTCCTGTCAAGCTCTGGATCAGGTCTTCCAGGTTTCTCCAGAATCCCAGTTTTTCTAATGGGTAGTTCAACCAGCCTGCACATACAAACACATCTGGGTCAATGATTTAATAGATCTAGGCATGTCATGTGGTGTAAACTTAAAAAACTACAAAAAAATAATGTTTTCCTAACAGCACAGTTATTATTTGCTATACTTTTAATTATTAAAACACTTTTTAATCTAATAGTCATAAATATTGGTTCCATTTTGCAATAAGGGTGCATTAGTTCATGTATTTACTAGTGGTGTCATGATATTAGAATTCAATACCAATCTGTAATGAAATTTTTAAAACGCTAATTTCCTGCTAACATTTAAGCACTATTGAGTGCTTTCTTAAACAGCGCTGATTTGCCGTTGTTCACAAGCTCAATAGAAATGACTTTGATAGGCTGTGGCGTAAAGGTCATCAGTCATCATGGTCATCACTGCGGAGTATAAAAACAGATACGAAGACACTGGAGTGTTTTAAAGCCGCAAAGATCAGCTGGTCTATTTACAAGCCGACATATGAGTGATCCGCTGATCTTCACAGCTTTAAATCGTTCCAGTGTCCCGGTGTCTGTGGTTAGACTCAGTAAACAGTGGGGAGTTCAGTGAACTGATGACCTTCAAGACCAATCCCAGTCACTTCTGATGAGCATGTGAGCAATGGCAAATCACCGGTGTTTAAGAATGCGCTCAACGGTTAGTAAGAAATTAACGGTTAGTTTTTAAATTTCAGTACCGATTGGTATTGAATTCCAGTATCGTGACAACACTAGTATATACTAACATGAAGTAATAATGAACAACACTTGTACAGCATTTAATAATCATAGTTCAACATTTACTAATGCATTATTAAAATCCGAATTGGTTCTTATTAACATTAGTTAATGCACTGTGAGTTAGCATGAACCATAATCAAGGATATGCCTATAAACATGAATAATTGTGTGTGGATGTACCTGTGGTAATGCAGAAGTAGGTTTCATGAGGTGCAACGTGGTGAACTCTGTGGTGCTTTCGTGGTAAAATGATGTGACAGTCCTGCAGGAGCACCACCCAGCGTGGGAGCCCAAAATATGTGTGCGACCATTTGTGAATCTGATTGGTCAATGTAACAAAAATGGCTACAGCAAAGACGTAACAGTACCAGGGGTAGTTTCGATAGATTTCAGCTGAAAAGAGAAGAACAGTGCGATATGAGATCCTGAATCAGAAATGATTCATCATTAGTCTCTGAGTTAGACAGATAAAATGTCTGATGTTTTACCTGGTGAGAGCATCAGGAAGTTTGCAGCCATGTTAGCCAGAGGGACGATGGTCAACATACAGTTATCACCATTGGTTTCAATGAAATCATGGCGTGTTATAGCTGTTGGGTCAATGTGGTGCTCTCGAAACGGACGAATGAAGGCCTGGGGTCAACAAACATGAAGAAAACATTTTTTTAAAGGCAATAAGGATTAGTACAAGACAAAAAAATCTTACAGAATCAGATGCTAATTTTAAAATATATAATGTAGACATCATAAAAATATTGACTATTTGATAGGGGTGTAACAATTTATCGTTGTACGATTTATTGCGATGCAAAAATGTCTCGATATGCATCGTGGCGTTATGACGATTTGATTACGATATGACGTCAGTTTTCTCTTATTAGTTGAGCTGTTTGCACGTGAGCTACGTTCCACCTGCTGTCGCACGTGAGTTCAGTTTGCAGCAGCAGTAATGTTAGCAGACCAAGATGAGTGGAGTTAAAATAGAGGATGGCCCATCCTCTCAAAATCAGACGTCTGGCAACATTTCGGTTGTCATTGCTTTAGACTCGTCCGCTTTTTGACACGCATACTGGGTCAAACATCCTAAGTTTTAAAGTCTTCACAGTGATTTACATACTTTGCACAGCGACAGGGATACCTCCTAATGCTGTTGAAAGAGTCACATACTGTATTTATAAGGTACAATTCACCCTAAAATATCATTCTGTCTTCATATAATGATGTATTGGCGGCCGCAAAATCACACAAGACGTGAGCTGTTACTACAGAGGGCGGTTGATAACCGATTTTAGCATTTAAACCTTTGATCTGACTATCCATAAATATATTTAGAGATATCTGTAATTATATTTTGACTAGTCATAATTATAATTCGACTAGTCAAAATATAATTAGAGATATCTCTAAATGAATTTAATTAAATATGAATTAAATATATTTATGGATAGTCAAAACAAAGGTTTAAATGCTAAAACGTCTTGCCATATGCGCGCGTCTGCTTCAGTGAACAGAACCTGCAGGTTGTGACTAATAAAGTGGTAAACAACATTCAGTTTGTGGAACAGAGTGATCTTTCAGGAGCCACGTGGGAAGTATAAACAGCACTTAGCAGTGGAAATGAAACCGAAAACGTACACATTATTTAAACAATCATATCGCATTTTAGAGTTATGAATACGACGAGCATTAACCCTTTTGAGTACAGAGGTACACAAAAATGCACGTCAACATGATACACTTGATAGCGCCGACATCAGCGACGCCGAAGAAATAGTAAACCTGCCTAAACTGCTGAAAAGAGTCACGACTGTCCTGTGTAATGAAAAGACGGCCACCCTGTCACTCATCATGCCCAACATGAAGACAGCCATCCATAAAAACCTCTCAGACAGATACACATAAGTTCAGGATTATCTTATAGAACTGCTGATTACCTGGAAATGTGGATTTTTTTTGCACACGGAAAAAACACAAGTAACCAAGCAAAGCCTTAAGCTCTTACTGTTAAATTCAATTGAATAGAAAGCTTATTTGTTTTGCACCTTTACTTATATTGTTCCTTAATTTTGTCTCTGTCATTTCAATAATATTTTTAAAGAAGTTTTTAAATTGTTTTATTTTCCAGAGACAGGCCTGTTTAATTTATTTTCTTAAAGAAGGTTCAGTTTAACAAGTTGAAACAAAAGAAATACATAAAAAATTGTTTACTTGGTAAAATTTGCATTTCAGTTAAATTTTCAATTTTTATTCCAAATATCGTGATACACATCGTATCGTGAGCTGAGTGTATCGTTACACCCCTACTATTTGAAAAAGTGAAGTACAGTAAAATGGTTTCTCACACTTTATTTCAATGCACTATAATACACTATTAACAAACTATTACTAAGATTTTGTCTAAATAAACTACTAATTGGCTGCTTATTATTATTTAGGATAAGATAATAGTTGGGTTTAGGTATTGGGTAGGATTGTGAATGTAAAATAAGATTATACTTTATAAGTGTTAATAAACAGGTAATATCTTAATAATAGGCCGGTTAATAAACCAATGTCGTGTATTGATACTTAGTTACTTAAACTAAAATTTAAACAAATGCTTAACTGGTTGAAAAATATCTTAATTTCTTCAGAAACATTTATCACATTCTATTAAATTTTGTATTTAAAATATGAGTAAACATATTACATGATGTACTATAAATAAACTTGTTCTCTAGTTAGGGCAGTAATGACCAAAAACATCAAACATATCAAATAGTTATATTTTGTCTTGGTTTAGCTAGGAGTGGGCGGTTTGACCAAAATTATTTTTATGGTATGAGCAGCTTTATTTTACAGTAACAATACATTTTACAATATAGATATTTAAATGGGTATTTATTTCAGAAAACCAAGGGAAAAAAAAGTTTAGAATAAATAAAGAAATTAAAACAACTTTTGTCATTGGAAGCAAAGTTGATATTATATATATATGTGTGTGTGTATATAGATATGTTCATACGTTTTAAAAACAAATCTAAATATTAAAAACTTTCAAGGATTTAAGATGCTACTGACAGTTAAATGTGTCAAAACAGGCTTTTGAAAAGCATCCATTAGTCCAATGTGAAATTATTATCGAGTAGGCTTAAGGACCTAGGGAAGGTGCTACAGAAGTTTAACTTTAAGGGATATTGTAGACAGAGTTATTCTGTATTCGAATTTGCTGTTTCATGTCAGTAATCCAAAACACTACATTTAAATCACAGGGATTGTTTCACATCAGATTTACTTACTTACATGTCAAAATATACAGTTGAAGTCAGAATTATTAGCCCCTCTTTGATTTTTTTCTTTTTTTTTTTAAATATTTCCCAAGTTACGTTAAACAGATCAAGGAAATTTTCACAGCATGTCTAATAATGTTTTTTCTTCTGGAGAAAGTCTCATTTGTTTTATTTTGGGTAGAATTAAAGCAGTTTTTATTTTTTTTAAAAACATTTTAAGGTCAAAATTATTAGCCCCTTTAGGCTATATATTTTTTGATAGTCTCTACAACAAACCATCGTTATACAATAACTTGCCCAATTATCCCAACCTGCCTAGTTAACCTAATTAACCTAGTTAAGCCTTTAAATGTCACTTTAAGCTGTACAGAAGTATCCTGAAAAACATCTAGTCAAATATTATTTACTGTCATCATAGCAAAGATAAAATAAGTCTGTTAAATTAGAAATGAGTTATTAAAACTATTATGATTAGAAATGAGTTGAAAAAATCTTCACTCCGTTAAACAGAAATTGGGTTAAAAAAATAAACTGGGATGCTAATAATTCAGGGAGGCAAAAAATTCAGGGGGGCTAATAATTCAGGGGGGCTTATAATTCTGATTTCAACTTTACGTGGAATAAAGCAAAGAACTATTACAGTTGATTATTTATTTTCTGGTAATGTTATTTAACACCATACCGCCCAGGTCTAGTTCAGACAGTAATTTACAGAGTGGTATTTGAGCGTTATGGTTGAATAATAATAACAATAATGGCTCAATAACATTTAATAACATGAAAAATGGTGTTTCACTTGTATACCTTCCCAACAATGGGCAGATCCACCGAACCCCATGTGTCAGCACCCCAGTGGACCAGACCAGATGCAAAGTCTGCTGTGAGGATCCCTGCCACTACACAAACACACACACACACACACAAAATACAGCACAATCTGAGCATGAATTCAATCTCCAAATCCTTTCCTGTTAATTACTAGAATTACTAGAATTCTTGGAAACTGAGAATGTCATAGATGTACTTTGTAACTTCTTTGTTGAGCCTAATTCTACTGCTCCATTAAACATTGATGTGTTTGTGCGGGTTTGTTTGTTGTACCAACCGATGCCCAGGAGGATGTACCAGGAGTGTCCCAGGTGGAAGTATGTTACCAGGTAACAAAAGTTGAAGGCCATGAGGGTAAAGCAAAGAAGCACACTGATCCATTCCTGACATCTTTTTCCTGTTAGATAGAGACAAGCATTTTTTAGTAAACAGAGTCCAAAAATAACATCAAATAAGCATCAAATTAGTGCTTTAGTGGGAAATATTCACTTTTAAGGGACCACAAGATAATCCATTATTTAAAAACACTATAAGAAAGATTAGCTGGTCTCACTGTGTGACATACAATTCAATTTAGGTGATGTTCATACGCTAAGACATCAGTCACATCTTGAAGCCTGGATAAAGCATCTACTAAATGTAAAGTGGACAAATCAGCAGGCCGATCGCAAGGCATCCCCTCTTAAATGCTCTTTTAATCATTCTGAAATGTCTGTGCAGTCATCAAATGGATTTGGTTCATTACCTCCTCGGTTTTACAAAACTGTGTTCCCAAAAATTAGCCATCTGCCTCCAAAGGCAAGAAGAAAATATAATTTTATTCATTTTATCTGTAAGGTCTGAGACAAAGGTCATTTGTGAGGTAGGATGAAACAAGCTGGTTTAACTGGTTGCAGCAACATTCATTTTATTACTGATAATCCGCCAGTTGAAGTGAAAGGATTATTTACAGTCCCAAGTTTAAGCCGTAATCTAACACTTTTTGTTTAAGATGAAGAAATGTAAGTTGCTTTGTTTTTGGATGCTTTTTGTATTTTTCAGATGCGTGTTGTATTACTTGGGATTAATATTTAGAAAATGATTATTTAACTGTTTATTAAAAGTAAAAATGTTGTAAACAAAGTTAAGCGTTTTGCAGAGACTATATCAAAATTACCTCAATGTATTGTCAGGAGTCGCAGGTATTCATTTTATTTTTTCATGTTATGTTTTGGTTTTGACTCTAAAAGTGTCAGTAAATATGTCAGTAAATATCACATTGTATTAGTCACTAAATGACCATGGTTTCAGCAACAAACAAAAAAAATGCTAATGTTCTACTGAGGAAAACCTGAGTAAATTAATGAACAGCAATCTGTTGGGTGAGCTATCCTTTTAAGCCGTAAGCTATAGATACAGAATAAATTCAAATGCTGGAACCGCAGATCAACAAGATAAATCCTATTTCATTTCAAGACAACAGGTGGCTGAATTCAAATTAGCAATACAGTAACACAACTATATCAAAAATACTGGCAGCTTAAGTTTCAAAAATATAAGAATTACTGTCATAAAACTCTCGAGAAACATTTGAATCAGTGACTGAGACTGAGGCATATGCTTATGAGCTTGTATTAAAACAATGCTCCCAATGTCACATTGTTTCACTGCACAGCAACAATTGTGCCGTGGGCAAATTCACCTTTGCCCTAAATTCAGTGCAGAACCACTTGAGAGAAAATATCTGAAATGACGAAGAAACCTGATTCTCAACACAGTTGAGAGAATAAAGAAATAATACTTTATTCCAAGGTGAATGATTCATTAAAAGTTAATCTAACAACGGAACACAGAGCTTGTACACTGCTTGAGTCACTATAGCCACTGTAAACATGAGGACAATGATGTGAAGATATAGAAGCACTGAATCTCATGCCAACCAGAAACCCACATAGGTTCTGCTCGATTTGACATTGAACCGTAGCACCCAACCTACCTACACCAACTCAAACTGGTCACACCTACCACACCCTCACACTTGTCTGGTTTTGTTTGGTTTTCAGCCCTGTTCTGTTCTTCTGTTTATATATGCGGCATTTGTCCTACACACAGTGTTCACTGTTCCCTGCTGGTAGTGGTACTGAAGAACTTCCTCCTCCTGTAGTACATTCTGATTTACCACACACAAAATATTGTAAGCTGCTGGTTTTAGGTGAAATTGACTATAAAATATTATGTTTTTTTGTTGTTGTGCATTTTAAAAGATAGTGTGATCAAAGATTATTATTAAAATCACAACATGGTCCTTAAATCGCACTCAATAAGCTTTTGTTTTTTTTTGTTGATTAATCTCAATCAATATTCAACCGTATTAAAGGTACCAGACTTTGTACTGATGCATTTTGGATTGGAAGTGTGAAGTTTGTTTACAAACTGCAGCACTACACATATATACACACATGTATATCCATTTACATGTAGAAGATCCTTTTTTCACAATTACCTAGAATTGAGTAATGCAAATTGGCTTGTTTGTTTGTTTGTTTGTTTTGGACTTTAAATTTTGTTGTTACTGGGTCATAGACTTCCATATTTCTGATCATTTCAATTGGAAATCCATGAGTCTGATATGATAAAGCCGCATGAGGATGACGTACAACACAGATTTCACAACAGTTTGAGTTGGTCATTCTAATTTCACATTGACCAGCAATAAAGATGCCTGGTTTCAAAGTGACTTTTGTGATTCATACTTTGCTTTGTTACTGACAATAGACAATGGATCTTTTTTTCTTTGTGTGTTCTCTGTTCACCTGTTCATTTTTTGGTCTGGATAAAAATAGAAAAAGTATACATTTGGTCATCGTGGCTTCTTGTTTAACTTTCAAGCTACCAGGTTAAGAATGAACCTAATTAACTGGCCTTTTGACGTATACTTTCTGATTTAACCTACCAAATATTTACAACAATGCGCTACATGTACTTGTTTTTTTGTTGTTGTTGTTTTTATGTTTGTTTTTTGTGTGTGTAAACTTTATGTAATTTTTATCCAATGAGAAGTCTCAAAACGTGTAAAGGAGTCAAAACATTAGAAGGAATACACAATTGAAGATCTGCTGTGAAGATGTGTGTTTGCAAACAACTTTATTGAACTGTAAAGGGCAGAATTTGAGACTAAGAAAAAAACAGGTATGTTTGAGTATTCTGTACATTTTATATAAACATCTTGTGACATTATGTCCTGTTTTGAGAAGCAACTCACTGCATGACAAACGAGTCATGTGATGACAATATTAGTAGAACCCATGCAGACATAACCCAACTTCAAATCTGTGTGTCTTTAATTGTTACTTACCAAAATGTTGTCCATATTTTGTGTACAACTTCTTTTAAACTAGCCCAATTACTGAGTCTATTTTTTAATCTATATGGAAAGCAAAACATCTAAATCATATCCTGTCAATATCTGACAGCTACAAGTACTGTACTATTCTTGGCACAGAAACTACTCCCTTGAGACCTAAAGACATGATTAATAACCCAATTTGGTCAAATTTTCCACAGACAATTATGTTCGACTTGTCTGATGACTGGCATCTCTTACGGGGCTCATTTAAACTGGCTGCCACATGAACATCTCTCATTAATCCGTCTCGGTGTTACAGTAATAAACGCGTCATGTTTACCCCCGTAGAGACCCCTGACTGAACATGCACGCGCTCTGTTACGTGCACTTTCAAAACACACTACGCGGCGAATGCTACAGCTCCGTGTCTGTGCTCTCGGAGAAAAACTCGTGGCTGGCAGTCCGTTCAATCCCTGGTGTGGGCAGAGCCGGGCGAGTACCGGTGCCGACGAGACACGTAAAACAGGTTAAATTCCTACCTGGCGAGTATAACTCCGCAAGCTCTCGAGCACCGGCATGCTGTGGACCCCATCTTGCGCCCGATTGCTCTGATCCACTTGGCGCGGGTGTGTGAAAGTTTTTTGAAGACCCGCTTTGCTCGGTGCTCGCCATATTCAGTCCGGTTCGGGCGCAGCGGATGCGTTAATTCCGCATCCTGAACTCCACGCCTCTGAACGCCCTGTTCCGCGTCTTCTCACTCCACCAATTGGGTTCGTTCCGCTCCAGAATCCAGCCAATCGGCAATTAGAGTACGTTATCATAACAAACATGACGACCAATTAGAAAGCAAGAATGTCCTGACCCCACCCGGATGCAACCAATCAGAAAGCAGGCTATGGTGACGGAGGTTTACTTTAGTGTAAAAGGGGGTTTGTATTATGAACTAAATAATAAATTCTTTATAATTTACTAAATGTCCATTTGCCTTTAATAATTCACTAACAATCAGAATATTTGCTTCAAACCATGGTGGAAGAAAGATATTTGTTTTTGTGGCTTATACAATGTTTTGGTTATTCCAAATAGCCTAAATAAAAATATAAATAAATAAATATTTGTGAGGAGAAAAGTTGTGCTGGTATAATTGTGACCAGACAAGAAGAAATTGCTTATGAAATTGGAATAATTTAGCTGGTATTTTCTCAACATTATAATTACAAAGTAATTGGAAATTAAGCCCCCCAAATGTTTTGTTAGGTTGTGTTAATTACAAAACAGAACCTTTACATAAAAATAAATTTTATATACATAAATTTTTCCAAACCAAATTTTTATATATATTTTGCTTACTGTAATTATTATGATAAAAATTATTATTATGTTGAAACTATTTATAACTCTTTTAGAAAAAAGGCTTTAAAAACAACTGAAATGTGTAAATTAGGCTATATAATCATTTTTTCTTTAATGTTGATGTGTATGCTCTGTTCTGATTGTATTTTTTTGTTTTCCTTTTTCAATTTTTTTTTCATTTTATTTATAGTTTAATGTGATTGTATATTCTTACTTTTCGCATAATAATAATAATAATAATAATCAAATGTATTTTGAACTGCTATTTTGTCAAAAAAAATTGCTAGTAAAATATATATTTTTTAAAAACCATGTTTGAAAGTACGTCACAGTCTAAACAAATAACTTTTTTTTGGTCCGAGTGAAAATATGTAATATGTAAAATATGTATTTTTGTATACAATATTTTGGTTATTCAAAATACACACATACATGTTCATTTACAAATAAAAAAGTTTTTTTATATATTTTGCTCAGTAATGCAGTATTATATTGAAACTATTTCTAACTTTTTACAAAAAAGGCTTCAAAAGCAACTGAAATGTGTAAATTATATAATCATTTTCTTTAATGTATGATGTATATACCCTATACCCTTTCTGTTTGTTTTTGTTTGTTTTTTCTTTTTCAATTTTTTATATATTTTAATGTGATTGTATATTGTTACTTTTCACATGATGATAGAAAATTGTATTACGAACTGCTATTTTGTCCAAAAAAAAATGTCAAACTATGTTTGAAGTTACGTCACAGTCTAAAATGTCTAATAATTGGACTTTTACAACGTTACATTTTTTCAAATAAAATACTTTTTTTTTGTCTGGATGAAAATATGTCACCATCATTTATCCAGCATTACTTTATTCCAGACGACCCATGTTATTATTTTTCTGTGGACGATAACAGGAAACGGTGAGGACAATATTAACTATTAGTTATTAGACATAATATTTAGTACAATTAAAATGTCAGTTTGTGATGTTTAGTATGAATTAAAAGGTAAAGATCTATGACAGTACAAATGCTGTAATGGGTTTTTGAAATTGTATTTGTGAATAAAACATATGTGAATATATAAACAATATATTCCTTTTGAACTCTCCCCCCCCACTGAGACCCCCCCCCCATCCACCCCCACAATCTCCTCACAACTCACACTCCCCATAATCACTGCACTATTTCATATTTGCACATTTAAAAGTTTCACATATTTATCGCACTACATTGCACTAATTCTTTTTGAATTGTACCCACTGTACATATACATTAGTAATTATTTTTCTATATATCTGCATACTTCTGATTAATAATAGCAACCTGTATGTATTCATATTGTAAATCTGTTTATAGCCAATACAACCTGTATATAATGTTCATAGTACATCCATCTGTAAATATTACTAATAGTTTTTCTATTATTGACCATTATAACTTACCTATATCCTGCACATGATGCTATTACACTTCTAGTAAGACCTAAACAGCATTTCGTTGTCTTGTACATGTGAAATAGCAAAAAAAGTTTAATCTAATCTAATATGAAATAACACAATATCGAAAAAAAATTGTGGTGAAATGTATTTATTATTACTGAGCCTCATCTTTTTGCACTTTGGTGAACACATGGTAAATGTTAAGGTACGAAAGAAACGCTATTATTGAAAAATGGTGAAGAAGTGTGCTTATGGATGTCAATGATGAAACTCAGTTCAGCAGCTCGTGTTGTGCTATCTTGACCCGGCAGGTGGCAGACTGAGCACATTACTGAAGAAGGACAAATTTGTTGCTGCAAGCAGTGGCCCTCTGAGAGAGCTGAGACTAGACATTGATGATATGAAATCGACGAATAATGTGAATAAATTAATTAACTAGAAAGGATTTAACAGATCCTGGATTTAGATCATAATCCATGATGGCAACTTTATAAGTAGGCTAAATTAAAAACTAAATTTTGAAATTAAGTTATAAAACATACATTTATAGCTCTAACAACTGATTGCTCAATCTACTGTTATTTTCAATACCAACTTTGACCACTTCCTCGCTGCACATCCCCATAGAGAATTTTATATTTTATTTCCTTTCTTCTTAATTGTACTTGTTTTTAATCTTGCTGGCAAATCAAGGACTATCGTCATATTGACTGAATAATGTTGCTAAATGAGTTTACCTAATAACATTAATAACCAAAATGACTTTTGGTGTGTGGTCATCAATAAAAAAGCAATAGGACACTCAATGTTGTACTGCATTGTTAGTCATGGCTGGTAGATTGCAATGAGTGACTATATTTACCATACAGTATACAGCCAATTGTGCCTTTGTTGCTCAATTAGCTATTACACTACAGAAGACTTTATTTTGACTGATCAAATTGTCAGATATTTCTTAAATAATGACCAAAAATGCCCATAGCACATACAGTAGTGTTGTACACCAACCAGCTGATGTTTTTATCACTTTACTTATGGATGCTGTCTTTATAGTTCGGTGGGTATGTAAGAAAATAATAAGGATGCAACCTTGTAAAGAATCCTAATAATTACACAAAGAGGGAGATCTGTGTTGAACAGACTATTGCTATTGTTAAATGTTACAATATTGTTTCTTCATTTAATTAGACCCTGTTATTTCCACTTATATAGGCAATGTGTGTGTGTGTGTGTGTGTGTGTGTGTGTGTGTGTGTGTGTGTGTGTGTGTGTGTGTGTGTTTGTGTTTCACTTGTTCAAATAACAAACACTTTATATTTTTTATATTTTGTATTCTTAGACTAAGCTGTGTGTGAAATATAGGCTACTCAAAGTCTTGTGTGTACCTGCCATTAAATCTGATTCTGATTCTAATTATATAAAACCCCACGTTCAGCGCATTTGCATATGTTTATGTCGTGTATATTTTTTTCTTTTGTTATTCAGTGATTTGAGCACCCCGCTTTTAAGTTGTTAGTGTGCGGTCAAACCAGAAAAACGCGTCACATACCAAATCGAGAATCGCCGCCCACTCTCACACCCCTATAAACTCCTCAATCCGAGACATGAAAACTGACTCGAGCTCTCCAGCGAACGCTGGGCAGGCAACCTATCACCTACATACAACTAGACCAAAGTCATCTAGTTATTTCTGCCATCGAAGACTCTCGAATCCTCGCGTGAGTTTTATTTCTGCACTTGTAGTCGGTGAAACTTGCGAAGTTCTCAGGGGCGGCGAAACCCTGATCTCCGTCCTGCCGCAATCCGGCGGGTGTTAAGATCCATGGAAGTGGCCGGTTTTTACGAGGGGGACTACCTCGCTTTCCACAGCACTAACGCCAGCAGCAGTCCGGTCAGCGACGGTGTATGCAAGCAGCCAGTCAACGGCTCCATGACGAAGCTTCATGATATTTCTGAGCACGAGAAAGCCATAGACTTCAGCATCTATTTGGACTCTTTGCCCCAGTACCAGCATCTGGCCAGCCAAGACGAAAGCCACCGGCACCGCGCACTGGGAATCTACAGCGACTTTCTCTCTGAGGAGAACAAGAGCAAGAGAGCAGCGCTCCAGAACTACAAGAACTACATCTCGCTGACCGAGCGGGACCCGAACCAGCTGGCGTACCCGGAGCTGCAGGAGACGCGCATAGACGCCGTGTTCAGCCCGGACTTTATGGGCAGTTTTGCCAAAAGTAACGGGCGACACGAAGAGACGCCAATGGATGGTCCCGGTGGCTATGACATGCGCTCGTACCTGCCGTACCAGACTGCTCCGAGCGGCAGCCTGGGGAACATTTCGACCGCGTCTTCCTCCTGCTCGAGCCCGCCAGGTACACCTGCGCCGTCAGGTAAGGGAAGATCACCTCAAGCGGGCGGTAAAATGACCTCAAGCGGGAAAGGCAAGAAGCGGCTGGACAAGGACAGCGACGAGTACAGACAGCGACGCGAGAGGAACAATCTCGCCGTCCGCAAAAGCAGAGACAAAGCCAAAATGCGCAACCTGGAGACGCAGCACAAAGTGCTCGAGCTCGCGGCCGAGAACGACCGGTTACAGAAGCGCGTGGAGCAGCTGTCACGAGAACTGGCGACGCTGCGGAACCTGCTCTCCGCCACCGGCCAGTGCTGACGGGACTCCCGTGGTGCTTAATGACTCAGTGACTTTAAAGAGTGCAGAATTTACAACAAAAGTTTTCTGCCGTCGATTGGAAAAACGGGCGAGCGCTCGTTCGACGCGTTTACAGCCGAGAGAAAAACATGAAAGTGGACTGTGCGCCTGGATTGCGCAACATCCCCACCGTGTGCTCGGTACAGCTCTGGTAATCTGGAAACCCTGTCACGTATTTCGTCTGTAAAGTATTTTTGTACGGGTTCTAAAGTGAGATATCTACTGTTTAATATTCTGTTATTTAAATTCCTTTCGCCATATCTGGGGCAGTGGTTGTCATGGGAAGAGTTGTACTGCAGAGGTATGATGCAACTCATTGTAACAGTATTGGAAACGCAGTGAAGAAATCTTATAAAGATGATAAAGGTACAACTGGTCTGCTGTTATATACTATTTTATTGAATTAAATGATTTTTACTGTACTGGAATCATATGTGTCTAAGCATTTTATTACTGCTGTCAAAAACATATTAGCACACACCCACCCATTCACGCACGCACAGCTGCTGAGATTCAGTTTCCATTATGCAGTATGTAGCCTATTCTTGCTTTCACTTTAGTTTCAATGGTTTCTTATTAAACAGTGCCCAAATCTACCCATGCAGACACATTTATCATTCAGATGTGAAATCTCCTGTCAAATGTCTGGAATTTTGGAGATCTTTTGAAATCTGTGTTGGTGAGTCACCTCGGTACAGAGGTATGGTTATCTTAAATACACAGACAGGGTCCACAATCCAAAGAGTCCAGCGGTCTGTTAAAGACTGTGGTTCAAGGCTAGATAAGCAATGAACTTTCTAGCCCCTTAAAACACACAAACACATACAAACACACAATTTACTGAAAAAAAAACATGTCACAGTGTACCAATGTTACACTTGAGGATCTAATACAGGTTGTCATAAACGTGCAAGCACTGATAGGATCTGATTTGAGTGAAAATGAGGATTTAGATAAGAAAAATAATGAGTAATCAATTAAAAGGTGGATTTAATCAACATACAAACTCATTTCTTTCACTTTACCTAAGGCTTAAATGCAAGATTTAATGATTCATTTTTTTGATTTTATGTTTGACAGATAAAAGTAATACATTAGATATTCTACATTCTACACTTCTCTCTTGCTGGCCTGCATTGCTGCAGTGTTCCACAATTTGAAATATTATGGCTTTTACTCTCTTTTCTTCATCTTTGTTAAACTGCTTTGACACAATCTACATTGTAAAAAGTGCAACTGAAACTGAAATAAAGATGAATTCAATTGAATAAACACACTCTTAAAATTAATGTTAGCATTTTATTTATTTATTTATTTATTGCAGTGATGCAATAGAAAAAACATTTTGGTTCCCCAAAGAACCCCTTAATAAAAAAAAAAAAAACATCTTAAAAATCTAAAGAACATTTAAAACTTTAGATTCCCACCAACATTAAGGTTTTTCATAGAACCATAAACAACAGAAAGGAACCTTTATTGTTAAGAGTGCATACTTCAAATATATATTTGCGAAAATATAGTCAAAATATGTGTTAAATAATGTTTCATTTTCTATTTAGCCCAGTGTAATATTACATAGAAATGAAACCGTATACATTTTCCAACCATTTCAAAAGAGAAACAAAATTTAAAATTTTGTTTAAACATATATTTAATCCATATTCATGTTCATGATAATATGAATCCACTATATAACTGTGTAGCCAAAGCAGATCAACTTATTAATAATTTATACATCATAGTACCTGTTGAATCTATTATTATTTAATATGTATTGATGGGATTTCATCACTGGTAACAGGGAAACTCTGAGCTGTTGAGGTGTGACTGTTCCTGCACGAGTCCTGCGGGAGGAAATGAAACCTGATGGACAGGTTGAATGGCCTGTCAGTCAGGGAGGAGAGTAAGTAACAGGTAGACAAGGAACAGTTCATCACCATTACAATAGAAGGTGGGAGAGTGAGAGAGAGGATGAAAGTCCGGCCGAGGGGGCTTAAATAATGCACTTACTTAAATGAACGTGTAGTCAACCAAATCCAAAACTTCTAGAACAAATGTTCCTCTTTTGTTGGGAAAAATAACCTGGTCTCCATGTGTGTTAATTGTTTTTAGTTGCTAAAGGAAATGACTAAAATCACAAGCATCTATTTTAAATGTTTATTTTATGCAGTACAGTATATTGCAATTTTGATCACATTAACACTTTAACTGGCATTGTAAACACTTGTTTGACTTTTTGTCTATAAGTTATCATTAAAACTCAAAAATCTTAAAATTAGAGGGAGTCAGGAACCTGTTCAACCTAAAAAAATCTTAGAATGGAAGATAAAGGATTTAAATTATGTAGTAAAATTAATATTTAATAATTAAATAAAATATAATAATAAAATATTTTAATAATTAATAATTATTATATGTATTTATATGTTTGTTATACATTACTGACATCTTTTTTAACCTCTAATGGGATTTAAATATGTGTTTTGTAATAAAAATGGCAACATTCTGATTGCATCACATGCAATGTTGCTTGAGAAGTTTAGTTTAACATTTTGTTTGATGTTTGAAAGGGAACCTGTAAAACAGTGAGAAACTGATCAGTAAAGGAGGAAAAGGGTGTTGTTTTGAAGAGCGTATTTCACAACACCGTCCAATAGTGCAGGAGGATCTGCACTTCTTGCTCAACATTTCCAACTTCCTTCTCCATCTGTGCATGCTTGTACGAGTAACGTACGGCGGCCTAAGATAATCTCGAATTTTCTTCCAGCTCGAATAGACTCTATCTGATTTGAATATATTTAGGGGCCAAACGTTAACAAATATATGTCATACACTGTTTGAATGCAGTGAATGAGATTTCTTTGTACTTTATTTACTTTTTTTTAAGTTTGCTTTGCTAATACCAAGCTAAGCAGAAGATGACAAACACATAATACTTAGTGACTTTGCATTTCAAAATATTCACAAGTAGAAAAAATCTATGAGTTATGAAATGAATAAGTCCTAATATACAGACAAAATAATCATTGTTAATGTGTAAGATTCATATTATTTTGCCTTTATATATATCATATTAGTTTTTTCATATTATTTCATCATATTATTTTTAAAGCAACAACAGCCTAAATGCTTACTAATTCCAACCATATTTCTTTAAAAAGCTCCACTTCATAAAAGGTGTACTGTCAGGGTCCACAGGCATTAATGTTGTTTTGCCTGTATGTTTTTGGACTCTCAATGTACTGATGACCATTGCATTTTACAAATCACCAATAACCAGTTTCAGCTAAAAATGTCTAAAACTAATTTTCTACTGAGGGTAAATGAAGTCACCTACTTTCTTAAAAATAAAGGTTCCAAAAATAGAGTTTTCCCAGTGACTACTTTAAAGAATCATGTTGAATTCCACAAAATCAACCTTTTTTTTAAGTTCCACTTCATAAAAGGTGTACTGTCATTGTCCACAGGCATTAATGTTGTTTTGCCTGTATGTTTTTACTCTCAAAGTGCTATTGGAAAACTATTTCAATAGGGCTATTGCATTTTACAAATCAAGAACCAGTTTCAGATAAAAATCTCTAATTAATTTTCCTAATATCTACACTGTAAAGAAATCCTGGTAGCCTTATTTTTAAGCTTAATCAAATTAACCTTATTATTCCATTGAACTTAAATTATGTTAAAATGACTTTAAAACTTGTGTAACTTAAAAAAAGTTCGAACATGGTTAACTTAATTAAATAAGTTACAATGAACTAAAAACATAAGCTGTCATGACTAATTGATCATAATTTTTTTACAGTGGACTCTCTTAAAACATTGTCAGTGTTACAGAGTTTTTCCAGTGATTACTTTAAAGAATCATTTTGAATTCCACAAAAAAAAAAAAAAAACATCAGCAGTTCTTAAAAGAAACATTTTGTTCATATTTTAAATAACCTGAACCTTTTGAGGAAGGTAAAAATGGATGTTAAGGGCTCTTTTATGGAACCTTCAATGCCAATTAATTATTTTAAGAGTGTGCATGATGAATTGGCCTGCGGGTTTGAAGATTAAACACCAATGCTCATTTTCGGGGGAAAAACGTACTCGCACCAAATGTTCCTTTCAAGTAAAGAACAGTTTCATCATCCAGTCTTGATTCACGAACACATCATATATGTCATCATATTACAGAAATGACCCATGAGAACTAAGAAGACACTTCAGGGGTTCCCTATTTATTAGTATAGTGAAGACAGAAGTATATTGGCTCAAGTCGATAAGCAGTCGGCAAGATTACGCGCGGTATACATATATCTACGCAGTGATGTTTTAATAGATTAAAAATGTTGTTTCTTTTCAGTTACCCTATTTGTGGTGAGGCAATTGGATTTTTACGTGAACTTTGATTCTTCCGTTCAGAGACAAATAATTCAAAGTGGGCTTGTTTGTTTCAGCTTACTTTGGTGAGGGAAGACGTGTAGCCTATTTTTCTCCCGTGAGACCTGGCGACTTTATCTGGGTCAGAGTCTAGCTGCTTCAGTTCTAGTTCGCTTTGTTTATTTAGTTTGTGTCAGTCTCCCGAGGAGCGTTGATTGCAAACATAGGGGTTTCCAACGTCAGGGTTACAAGTTTCTTTTCCCTTTTTACTAGAGAGCGACGCTCCGCCCGCTTCCAGTCAGGATTTTACCGTCAATAGTGTTACGTATGTCAGTAAACGAATCGCTGCGTCACGCCGCCGGCTCGACCTGCTGGTACTAATATGATCCAGCCTGCACCGGATTGTCAAACCCTCGTCCTACGCATTCGTGCATCTATACCTGGAAATGATGAAAGACCCCCCATTTAATGTTTCTTGGTCATTTTTTGCTTCATTAGAATCCATGTACACTTTGGAACTGACAACCTAAATCTTAGCAGCAAAATATTTTGAGGCCAAAAACACACTCGAGCTTCCTCTGCATATTTTTTAGGATGTGGTTATCCTCTCACTTCCCAATAACGACCTTTTCCTTGAAAACGCTTTTTAAAAGAAATTAATTTCTCTCACATGGTCCCTGTTGCTAAATACGTCTCAGGCCTCAAAAAGTAACCAACCATCATGAGATAAATGGCTCATATGAAATTCTATGGTTAAATATTAACAACAGTATTGTTGCAACAAACAAGGCCAACATATCAAAGGTGAACAGTCCCTGGCAGGCATATTAATAGTCAATGAGTTTCTGACACCTTTTTGAATGGTGAACGTCATCCTTTATAGTGTGCCTTAGTCTGGCATAAGTGAAACTAGAAACTGGACAGGGATTTTTGATTGAATTTAGGATTGAATTTAAGACATTGTGCAGGACAAGCTTCAATTAAAATATATAACATAATATAATAATATAGGTACATACTATTCACATATGTATTTGTCACAGTATAATGCAAAAGTGACAGAAAT